ACCAGAACTACCTTTTTCTTATTTCAAAAGGGGGTTCCCCCCCCCCCCGAGAGGAAAAAAAAGTGAGCACCTCAACCAACCACGAGCTCCGAAGATCAGCCGCGTTCCCGAAAAATATCTGTCCAACAGCTCTAAGCCAGACCCGCCCTGAAAGACTTATTTCATCTCAAAACCCTCTTTCAGGTTCCATGTTTGTGGGGCCAGTGATCGCTCAGGCCAGGGCATCTGGTTTCCAAAGCCAGAAGACTTCTCCTTCCAACCATGGGAGCGAACAAAAGGGCTGGCTTCCTTTTAGGAGGGTAGTGCTGCCCCCAGGTTTAAAAACAAAAAGCCCCCCCACCCCGCCCCCACTTATTGGTTGAGGAGGTCCCTTTTTAGCGGGAATCCTTTCTTCCAAAGCCCCTGATGAATAGCTGGGTTCAGTGAGCAGGGGTCAGCATCAGTCTTCCGAATTCTTGCTGTCAGCTTCCATGAGCGGGAAGCTTCGTCACCCGGTGGCCCGGTCGGGTCCCGCACGTTCTCTGGCGCTGCAGCTGGGTAAAGGTTTCGGCCACGGCCTGGCAGATTGCCAGACGGGTCGTGCCCGGCTGCCCGGCTGCTCGGTGGAGCAGTGGCCCCAAAAAATGGGGATCTCGGCTTTCCATGTCCGTTTGGAGGCCCTGTTCAACCCACCCCTGAGATCTCAGGGACGCGGACATGTCTTGCGAGCTTTGGGAATCAGGCCTGGTTCTCAAGGCGTCACAAGGAACTACCTGGACACTCAAACTCTTAAGCGTGGTGGGTATTGCAACCCAAAATAGTAGTTGGCGCTTTCCGTTTTTCAAGGGTGGAGGGTCCAGGTACACAGGAGTGTTTCCCGAATGCACAGCAGAAGGGTTCCGAGGGTTCCTGCAAGCTCGCCTTCCTCAATCTTGACATGCGCCGCCGAAATTCCTGAAAAATGAAATGGGTTGGGGGTCTGGGGGTGTTCGCAAGGCGTCCGTGAGTGTCGCAGTGGCCGTGCCATTCGGGAAGCGCAAGAAGTTGCGCTTTAAATGAATCAGGAAGAGCTGTTTTTAACGCACCCATCCGTGAGCAGCTTTTGGAAAATTGCACGCCGCGCCGTTGCGCTTTCAAGCGTTCTGCTTGGCATGCGCGTGCGAGCGTTTGCTCGAGTGTGAAGACCTTCCGTTGGCCCCAGTTGGCCCCTGTCGTACAATCGGATCGTTTTTTTTCCCGACATCGGTCGAAATCGTTCTGGCGCAAGTCCTGCTCAAATGTTGGATGCGTGTCGTAAACGTGTCAAAGTTGGATTTCGTGACAGGCGCAGAGCTTTGGACCGCTTTGAGTTCGTGGCAAGCGCAGGTTCCATGGCATGCGCAGCACTTTGGGGCTTGGAGTCCGTGGCAGGTGCAGTATCGAAAAGAAATTGGGATGTCTCGTTGGGGAGATGTCTTTGGAGATGTCCTTTGTGTTGCGGTTGTCTTCTAGGGGGTGACTTTGGTGGCGCCTTTGGAAGGTGTCTTGTGGGGATGCATTCATTGGGATGTTTTTGGGGAAGGTGTCGCGTGGGGATGTTTTCAGGGGATGTCTTTGAGGGATATCTTTGGGGGTGTCTTTGGTGATGTCTTTGCGGTCGTCTTCGGTAATTTCTTTGGGGATGTATTCCGAGGTTGTGTCTTTGCAGTTGCCTTGGAAGATGACTTTGTGGCTGCTTTTGGGGTGTCTTTGGAGGGTTCTTGCGGGACGTCTGTGCGGCTGTCTCGTGTGGGTGTTTTAGGGAAGATGTCTGGTGGGGATTGGGCAAGAGATGTCTTTGGGGGGATGACTTGATGACTTTGGGGTCTCTTTGAAAATGTCTTTGCGATTGCCTTACGTTGGTGATGTGTTTGGAATATGTTCCGAAGTTTGGGGGGATGCTTTCTTGGGAAGTCTTTGGGGTGGTTGTCTTGGGCAATGTTTTCGAGGATGACTTTGGGGGGGATGTTGTTGGCAGGGGTTTGGGGGGAAGTCTTCAGGGGAATGTCTGCAAGGGCTGTCTTTGGGGCTGTCTTTGCAGTTGCCTTTGAGGGATATCTTTGGTGCTTTCGTTTTGGATGTCTTTGCGGTTGTGTGTTTGGGGATGTCTTCGGGGATGTCTTCTGCGTTGTCTTTGGAAGGGGTCTTGGGAAGACGTCTGTGATGGCTATCTGTGGCGGGTTCTTTACGGACGTCTTTGCGTTTGCCCCTGTCGCTGGCAATGTGTTCGATGTCCTCCGAGGGCATTCTGGGGGGCTGTCCTTGGGGGTGGTTGATGAAGAAATCTTATGTAATGTTGACCTATGATGAATACCCCCCCCCAAATAAAGTTGGGGAGGGAAGTTGTTTGGGGGGGAGGGGGGGAGTTTATTAATCAGAGGTAGACACTCAGTGGGCTGTTGTGCAGACTTGCCCTTGTGCCTGAACCGCATACTCTGCGCTGTCCAAGCCGAACTCCACAATCTCCCAGACGTTCTGCGGCTGCTGGAGCACATCGCTCATCCTCAGCCCCAGATCTTCACACGAAGGAGTTGGGGTCAACCCCTAAAACTTGGCAGGTGATTAATGGCTAACTTTAGCCCGGTCCAAACTCCCATTGAAAGCGCTCCCTTTTCACAAGGCTCAATAGGCCTGACTTGAGGTGGGCCCAGAAAGCTGGCTGAGTATCCATGGGGCTTCAAATTGGGAGGTCCGCCCTTCAGAGAAAGTCGGAATCTACTTTCACCCATAAGTCCTACATTTCCTAGGCCAATGCAGGGCTTTAGGTCTCAAGTTTGTTCCCAGACCACAAACGGACATCAACCCGAAATCACCCTTTTCTTCCATTTGCGTGTTGCCCCTAAAAAAGTGTGAAAATATGTCCAGTAGTGGGATCGACTCCTTTTAAAACCAACATGAGAAAATGAAAACGTTTCTCAAACAAATCAAAGTTTTGCGCAACTCACCGATCACCGACTTACCAACCCATGGGCCGAACCAAGGCTCGCAATCCCCGGCAAAACCTATCTGAACAGCCACCTTTTTCTGGCAGGCAAGCCGAGCTTAGCCGAACTTGGCGCTACTCCAGTCCAAGGAAGTGTTCGGAAAGGCGTCGATGTCCTAGCTCTAGCAAGACACCATTGCAAATCCAACATGGGCTTCAAAACAAACGAGCCGATTAAAAAAAAGGAAGGAACCGCACTGGGCAAAGGCCACGACGTGAGGGCCACAAGTCCTTTACAAGGAGCGCATGGAAGAACCACCGCTTTGGCGGGGGGAAAATAAAGAAACGCTTGCCCTCTGGAACTTCCACCCCGAGCCCGCACAAACGACCTAAAACAATAAGATGTTCCTCGTTGGGTTCTTTACCATTTAGTAACTTGTATGGTGCAATTGGTTTATCTGGAAGCATATCAGACATAACATTTAAAAGCCCAGGCGCTAGTGGACAATCGTTCTGTAAATCGCACAGCTCTGCAGGAGCTTCTAAACCAACCTCTCAAAATCTACCAGCACTACATGTTTTATAACTTTCAGCTTCTGTTATACCCGTTGAAAATTCTTATCTGGTAGTTGTTGTATCACGCTGAACCCAAATGACTTGGCAGCATCAATATTACTACCAAAACTGTGTTTGTGTTTAAAACTTTACGCTTCTTTCACCATAGCCGTATTCCATATAAGTACTATGTTCTTCTACGTTCTCACGCGTCTGCGCCATACTGTGTCTAAGGCTGGCCTCGATTTCACTCATCTCTTGGTCAACTACATCAGCGTTTACTGCAACAAATTTAAACATAGCATTACAAGCAAAGTCATGTACAGCAAACCAACATACAGGGTCTAACCCATAACCGTTCATGCATACATCCCTAAGGTTGTCGAATCAGATATGTCAATCAGACTCTTTGAAGCACCACTCAGGTGCTACTGAGGCCTTATTCGCAAAACGGTGCCTCCTTTGTTGCCGCATAAGGGTTAGTGCCAAAATGGGAGGATTGCCCAGTTCCACTGGGCAGCTCCCCTCAGCAGCTGATGGGAGTAGGATTGATGCCACTCCCACAGCGAGGGAGGAATCCTCCCACCTCACCGGATGCCCTCCCGGCATCATGGGTGAGGAAGGAAAGTAGCGAAGATCAGCTTGATCAATTCGCTTTCGACTGAGGGGAAGACCCGGTTCTCAGTCGGAAATTGCGGGTCCGGATGAGTAAGTTCATCCGCCCATGTGTTAAAGTCGCGCTTCACATGCGACGGTCCTAACATGACCTGGTGGTCATGCAGTGTTAACACAATTTCCATGAGGATGGCCGCATTGGGCATCCTGCGAGTGGAATCGTTAAGCAGGGAGAAAACGTTTCCCTGGTTATCACTAGCAACCAGAATCCTAGTGTGAGAAGCCGAGCCGGCTGCACAAAGCAGAACAGCCCTCACCAAAAGGAGGAGGCCGAAGAGCTCCAAGGCCGCTATCGCCCGCTGCGGGTCCCCAGTAGTGAAGGCCCACGGCTCGCCCTCCGGTGTGATTCTGTGTTGGAACCACTTCACTCGGGACTTGTCGGGGTTGGGCACGTCCGAGCACCAACCACCAACCCATGCATGGTCCGCCTGTTTGCCAGCTCCCGCATCAGATGCCCCCGTCCATGGAAGTGTGGGAGCAAATGGAGATGCCAGTGGGAACCTCTGGTTGAAGAGCTTCCCCAGAAGGATGGCCAGAGCACGAACCAGCTTCGGTGGCCTGCCCGAAGTGGTGCAGGCCTTCTTCCAGCTCCAAAAGGGCTGGAGGAAAGGTTTCGTCAATGGACACGCCGAAGTAGCCCATTGAATCCGGCCCAGGGCTTGTTCCACCTCCTTGCTGGTAAAGATGTCCCCCTGGGCCAGCCGTTTGAGAGTGGCCAGGATTATGACGTGCTTGACTGGAGCCAGCAGCACACAGGGCGTGATTGGGTCCACCACGAATCCCAACCAGGTATTGACCGGGGAGAGCGCCGTCTTCTTCCAAGAAAGCGGGACTCCCAGCGCCAGAAGAGTGGCCAGGATGGCTGTGGCGTCCCAGTCCGCCCTGCTGCATCTGAGGACCCAGCAGTAGTCGTCCACAAAAACTAAGTGCCAGTCCACCTGAGGGAAGATGTAGTACAAGAGTCTGAGCACCAAGGATGCCTTTCTTCCCCAGTACAGTTGTGCCGAGGCCATGCCGTACGTGCCCACTCTATTGACCCACCACCGGTTCTGGATGCAGGCCACCTGGTATTTCCAGTCTTTCTGGAGCACTTTTATGCGCCTGTGGGCCTTGGTGACATCCGCCTTGAGGATGATGAAGGTTTCCCCCTGTGTCGGCGGCTGCCACGTCAGGGGTTCCCCCCTGCTCCCCCCGGGGCGTTCCGTGCCTGGGGGGGTTGGGGGGAATGGGGCCCTCCTATCAGGGCCCTCGGCACCTGGGAGTGGCCCCTTCCCTGAGGGTGTTGACCGCGGAGAGACGTCCAGGCCGCCGGAGGTCTCCATCATCCGCCTGCCCCTATCAGGGCCCTCGGCACCTGGGGGCAGGCTGGTGCTGTGGGGGTCCCTCTCAGGGCCCTCGGCACCTGGGGACTGCCCCTGCACCGGCTGGTGAACATCCCGAGGTTCCTCATCAGTGCCCGAGGATGGGGCTCGGAGTAGATGAGGATGGTCCGCCGCTGTCCTGAGCCAGTGGATGGCATGGAGGCAGTCTCCAACCATCGGTGCGGTGGTCTTCTCCTCCGTGTGAGCCTGGATGTGTGCGTTTGCTCCCCCTTTTGAGCCATCATAGATCGTCCTGATCTTGTCCGACTCATCAATCCCTGCAAGGGGGCCCGGGCAAAGTTCCTCCGGTTTGCAGCGGCACCTCTCTGCCGCCTCGGAGCGAGTGAAGGGACCGTCCACCATGTCCAAGGCTCGTTCCTCGTAAAAGGTTGATTCGATTTCCTTGGCAAAGAGTTCAGCCGTTGGGTAGTTATCATGAGCCACTGGCGGGGGGGGATCTTCCCCCAGCCATGCCTCTCCCTTGAGCTCCTCCTTAGTGGGCCAAACTCCCGGGGAGGTCAAGGTAGGGTCCGAGACTCCCAAGGGGACCCCCTCTTTCAGTGTCAGGGGGAACTCCCAATCAGGGTCACCTGAAAGGGATGCCAAGTGCGACACTAAGTCCAGGAGGAAGGGTTGTCCTGGGCATCGTTCATGGAGGTGCCTCGGTCCTAGGATAGCCCGCAGCTCCTCGAGGTCGGTTTCCTGGAAGGGGTGTGTGGTGGCACCTGATGCCAGGGACATCCGGACCTTATCAATCCAGGGCCTGGTAAGGGTCATGATCAGGGCGCCCAAAGTAGCCAAAGGGGAAACTCTCCGAAAAGGGGGGTTGAGCCTCCCCGGGGAAGGTTTCCCCCCCCCATCTCTCAGGGGGCGTGAACGGAAACCCAATTGGACAATCGCAACTCGGTCAGTGAGGCGTGGGACCCGGAAAGCGGGCAGGCATTCGGGGCGGTCCAGGACCTGGTCCCCATGTTCTTCCTTTTCCAGTTGTTCCGCATCTCCGGCCATCGGGGGCATGGGAGATGGGAAGTCTGGACTCATAGTTCCACGAGGGCTTACGGTGTCAGCCTCATGGTGGATGTGCCCGTGCTGGCGGGGCTTCGGGGCATTCTTGCCTCCGGGCTCTGGGCCCTGGTGTGACGAGGAGGGATCGCCTCCCTGATTGGGTCCCCGTTTCCCCCGGGGAGAAGGGCCCCCAGGGGGGGCCGACCCCCTTCCCTTAGGTGGTTCCTTAGGGTTTCCCGGGAATTGTGAGGGGATCCGGATGTGCCCCGGCGCTGCGAGTGACACAGCGATGGCTTTGGCCAGGCCTGCCATCATATCCCAGGGGTATCTGCTGAGAGTCGAGGACTCGCTGGTGCCCACATGTGACTGATGTGTGCACCGCATTTGATCCCAGTCCTGGATTGGGAGATCCGTGGCAAGTGTGGTGGCCTTCTTGACCAGCTGGCCCAGGCGGCACTGGTCGAAGGAGATTGCTGTCAAGGAGTTTTCCTCCATCCAAAGCTGCCCCTCCTCCGTGATCCAGAAGGATGAGCATTCCTTGGCTTTGGGCAGCGAGCTGCTCACCACTGGGTCCTCCGGGTGCTCCAAGAAGGATTTTGGCCCTGGCAGCGAGGCCGCCGATCTTGAGGCCCTTGCCAGGCTGGTGATGTACATCTGCCTCAAAATGAGGGTACTGTCCTCATCAAGCTGAGTCTGGGCGGCCTGGTCCAGGTGTGGGAGGCCCCAAAGTGTCTCTCGAGTGCGTCCTCGCACCGGGGTGGGGGCCCCCGGTTTTGGTATGTGGCGCAGGATGGACCATGTCCTGCAGTTGGGTCCTCCCCCAATGAAGACCACTCGGCCCTGCTTTGCTGCCGTGCAGAGCGCTCCATACAGCTCGGGTTGGAGCATGTCGTGGTTCCCTTTTGGTCCGGATCGTAGGATGTCTACTGCCACCACCATGCTGGAGAGGTGCGGGTAGTTGGCATGAAGACAGCTGTCTAAGGA